GCTGTTGCCTGTATGTAAGTTTCATGGCATAGTACCTGAAATTTGGCGGAGAACTGATGTTCTAATTGATAAGTGAAAATGCTTTCTTAATCGATTGGTTCGTTACCTAAGAGCGATGGTGATTTCGAGTTGAGGTAGTGATGCTCAGTGCATATCTCGGAACAGCTAAAGCCATGTTAATTGCTTTTGTCAAGGAACTTGTCGGGTCGTTACTGTATTCAGGGGGGACGAAACGAGCGTTTCTGTCGCACTGTTTGTGGTTTCAGAGCCGAAGGGATGCTGTCGCAAAGGGTGTTTTTGAGGCCGTGCTGTTCGAAACTGTTGAGATATGCGCATTTAGGAACTCCCAGTGCTGAAAAGGTTATTTTGGCTTATTGTAATTGACCATAGTTATTAAATGAGAAATGAGCTCTTCTTAAAAAATTGTCAGAGGGACACCACGCAGAACAACGGGGGAAACAACATTTTCTAGATATTTCTCCAAATATTCTCATTATTATAGTGGGGGATACGGAGGAGAATTTTGTCGTTCTGGAAGACACTGCCGCACCTTTTGCTTGGATGAAGGTAAAAACGGCCAAGAAATCTCAGTAGATCCTAGCTGAAGACAATTTTGACAAGAAAGCAAAAATAAGTAGCTGTAGGTAAACGAAATGGAATAAAAATGAAGTAAAAATAAAGCAGTGGTGATGTACATATGGACAGAAAGAAACAGGAACCATTTATATAAATTTTATACTATATATATCGAAGAGTCTGGCACAGCTATAGTAGGCGTGTAGGAGCATCCTAGTAACATGATTAACAAGGCAATCCCGCATTGATTGTTCGAGCGGTCTTGGTATTGTTGGGATGTATGACCAAAAAAGTTTGGGATTGAGGATATTTCTAACATAACCAAACGCATTGCACCGGCACATCAGACATAATAAACGTCTAAATATATTTGGTCAAAAAAATACTGCAGTGACTCACATTTTTGGTTATTCTCGACGGTAGCTATGTAGGAATAATGAAAAAAAAGAAAAAAAGAATTCATGAGCAGTCTGACTTATATAGCGTGATGAGCAGTTTTTTTCTCTGTAATGTACATTCGCATATCAGTATGCAGCCGACAGTCTGTGCTTACCCAGTTAGCTTAAAACACACCACATTTTAAGGGGCTTTTCGGTGTTGAACTGCTGAAAAATCCCGCGGGATTCAAATTGCTCAATGAAAAAGTCAGGAAACGCTCTTTCGAACTGGTTGAAAAGGTACTGCTGATTTTCACGTCTAATAAAATTTATCAGAATTTTTCTGAAAAAAATTTTTTCTTCACGAAGTTCGGCTATTCTTCTTTGGTTCTGCAAGCAGTGGCCCGTGGGATGAACGCCGTGAAGGTGTTGCTGTGTTCCACCCGCTACGATGATGTTAGAACAAAATTAAGAGTTATAGCTGATCAAGTGAACTGTGACATTTTGCTAAGTTCGTCTATGTAGAAAAAAATGCAAAAATTCGAGTGAAAACATAAAATTATATTGAGGTTTTTCAAATAATACCTTAGCTTGATCAAAAAAAAAAGGCTTAGAAAATTGAGTGAAAAATGCTAAATTACCTCAAAAGCGCACGAACCGTCAAACGCCTGGAATATTTGGCTCGTATGTAATTCGTGCAGCTTCGAAGAAGACGGCTTTTGCGGTTTCTTTGAGCATTGCTGTTTCCCTGGTGGTCAGCATGCTAGCAGTACTGAGGCTCGTTCTCTTTTTTCTGAATGGGTTACTGACAGAAGCGCATTTGGCGAAGTTCTAGCCAGTCTGATATATCCTTACATGTGTTGGGCATTGTTGAAACATTCCGGGAGACACAGTAAGCTCGGCAGTGTTTGATTAATGGAACACGAGAAGCAGATGAGATGCAAGAGCGGTAAGGATTGCCATTTGGGCTTGACTGCCGGTAGAACGGATGAAACGGAGATGGAGGATGTATTACTGCTTCGCTTGGCTTGGTTGTGCACTGTCGTAGAATTTATGCCATATTAGCAGTATTTTGATGTACCTGAACTGTGCTTTCTAGATCATCAATGGAAAATGTGAGAAGAAAGTAGTGGCAGTTTTTGATGATCTATCAAATGAGATATGTTGCGCAGCCGATCTGGTAATACACACCTTACCTTATTTCATCTCTTTGTTTTTATCAAAAATAAAAAACCGAAGTAGAAAGCTCGTCCGTATTCGCTGTGCATGAAAGCAGAAGCTTTCAGAAATGGCCCAAACGGTATCATGTTCCAACAACAACAATCCAGTACTCTTGTCGGGGTGGCTCCCTTTTCGGAAGTTGCTTGGAACAGTTAGCATTAGCTAATGGTGGTTTTGACTCTTGGGCAAGCGACATTTTCAGTTTTTCGTGAAAACGAATGAAAAAATCTTAGGAAGATTTTATCCCACTGACGGAATGGAACTGTCAGCGTTTTGCAAGATGGCAACATTAAGCATCGCTGCTTTAAATCCACCAACTTCGCTTCGCACATTTGAAGTATAAGTTGTTGTTTTTTCGAGGAAAATAAATGATCACGGCCTTCGAGGAGGTGGCGCACATACATAGAACAGGCCGTGGGTGCTAACTGGAAATATGCAGCTCGAGACTGAAAGATCTGCCATGGCTGTGCTCCGCCTGTGAGAGCATTCTAGTAAATCACTAACAGGGAAATCCTGCACTGTTAGTACGAGCGACCTCGGTATTCTTGGTGTTTTGCTCTTTCACGAGTTTTTTTTTTTTGTGCAGCAATAAGACAGGAAGAAGGGATTGCTGATAATAAATATT